TATCAGGAAGCAAATATAGTAATTAAGTATTGGTGTGGTACTGTCAAAAGAGGATTGACACATACTCTGTATGCTCTAATTGCCCTCGAGTTGGTCACCTGCTAGCAATTGACCCCAAACTGCCTGGCATAGAGAGCAGGCCAGGAGGGCAGAAAGGTTGCCAATGGAAAAAGCTATTCCCACAAGCAAGCTGCAAGAAGAACTGAGCACTGTCAAGACCAGGGCAGGCTACAGCTAGGGGAGCAGAGGAACAGAGGTTGGACCCAGTCAACACCATGGAGCCAGGCATTAAACACTCCTTGGCTTTCCTCTCCACCACAGCCATTTTTCTTCCTCAAGCTTTCCTGAGTACAGGCTGCACATACATCACATTGGGACTGACCATACCAGAATGGCAGGATGGTGATGCACTGCAACACGTTGCCCAGAGAGAATGTGGGTGCCCCATCCCTAGAAGGGCTCAAGGCCAGGTTGGATACAGCATGATCAAGCCTGACACAGCCGTTCAGAGTCTTCATCAGAGGACCTAACATTCATACTCTGGAGAGGCCACAGACAGAAGCATTTGAGATACTACCATTCACATACTTACATGAGTTAAGGCCATTTCAACTAGCACATATACAAACCATGATCTCCCAAAACTAGGGCTAAGGAGGGGAAAGCCATTTTGAGATCGTCTCAATGGAGGAGGCTCTTAACACAGAAAATTACCTGAACTGCAGGCAGACCTGCTTGGAGCTGAGCACAAAAGGAAAGAGCAGGTGCTGGACTACAGAGAAGGGTTTCAGAACAGGCTGTGAGGTATAAGCCCCTACACACAGCAAAGCTTGTGCATGCAGTATATTTAGTTGGTTCTCAACTGCTAGCTTTTTCCAGGCACGAGAGAGCAGTCATCTGACTGCCTAAGTGAAGAAACACTGCAAAACTGGCAATCCAGCTGGCAGTACTCAATCAGCTTCCTCAATCATCAACAGCTGAGAAGTGTTTAGGAGCACCAGAGACGGAGAACCGCAGTGCAGAAGGCACTGAATACATCAGGGAGGGAAGGCAGCTGGTAATCATTTGCTCTCTCTGTAAGCAGCTGATAAGGCCACCTCTGAGATTACAGGTTTTGTAAACTGTCATCAGCAGAGCATACTCATAGTGTTCAATTGCTTCAATCCTATGCATCCATGTCATTCCCATATTTGTGGGGTTTTTGTTTTGTTTTGTTTTTTTTTTGCTTTTTGTTTTTTCTGGCTAGCTTGACAAACTCTGTTGAGTCAGAGTATCTCCAGAAGTCTCCAGAAGTTTTGTAAATAAATCACTTAAAGGGACATTGTAATTACCCAACTATGTTTGTTCTTAAGATTGTAGTCTACAGCTTCTGTAAGTTCTGAAAAATTATATAAACATCTTTACATCAATATGGTTCTTAGCAGTATTTATTCATATCACTTTGATTTTCATATTGTATCAGCTTAAAAACAGATTTTCAATAGCTCATCCTCACTTTGGGCTATCTAACCTCCCCAAACTGTTAGCTATTCAGTTCTCAAGGCAAATGGAAGTATCTACTATGTAAACTCTTCCTGGAAGTGCTGGTTATCCATTCTTCCACAGCTCTCTGAATTGTGTATCTGTTGGAGACTATGCTTTCACTCCTTACGTTGAAATAAAAATGGACACCAGACGTCCATCTTGTCTTGGTTTTCCATAAGTAAAACCTGGCATCTTAATAGTCAGGTGTTTGTTTTTTTAACTTAATCTTATAGCTGACAATGCAAAGGTATATTTGAATGTGTGCAGATCAAAGGCAGAATTACCTGTTGCAGGTTGCTGTATTTGTCCTTTCTCTCCTGCCCCTGCCCTATCCACATCTATAGCCTTGATTATGGCAAGCTGTACAGTTCAGGTAATGAGGTGACTAGTAAGCTTCAAGTCTTCTTTTTTAGAAAGAAAAAAGTCTGAAAAGAAAGATTTAAAAGAACCTTAAAATTAAAAAAAGAAAAAAGAAAAAAGCTCAGCATCATTTTTCACAGCTAAAAACCTCTTTATATGAATTCTGATTCCTTTAAAATTTTGGAATGCTTTTGTTAGTTGTGTTTGGCGCGTGCGTGTGTGTGTGTGTGTGTCCTGAGCCACTTCAAATTTCCACAAATTAGAAACACATTTGAATTTCTGGAAATCAACAGTCTGGTTGTTGTTTTTACAAGGAAAATGTACAATAAACACAACTCCAGACTGTGTGACAAAGACCTTTCGGGTTGGGTTATACTGAGCAATGGAGGACCAGCCTAAACATTTGTGCACACTGGCACATAGAAAGCCCAGCACAAAAGCCCAGAGTCTTAAATGCAGTTCATTTGCATTTTACAGTGTGCAAACATCCACTATCTGCTAACAAATCACAAGAGACAGCTAAGTTTCCAGCAGATTAGGTAGGAAGTCCGTGGCACATCATACCATGTTATAATGAGGAAGGAAGCTAGGAGAATTTTGGAACAGAAGAACGAAAGTTGGTTTTGGTTGTATGACATAAACTCTTACAAGGCAGTGTTACACTGTTCCATTTGCCTGGTGAAAACTTGCGGTAAGACTGTGGGGAAATGGAAATATAGGAAGTAACATCTGTAAAATCCTGTTTTTAAAATCCCAGCCATCAAGACACAGAACTTGGTATGCTCTCACACTCGGTGAAACAGAATATGCTGAATTTTCAATGAAAACAGGATAAAAAAACAACTTTTATTTGCTTTGTCTTTTTGTCTCCGGTATATGTTTTTGTTTCTATTTTGCTTTTCATTAAATTGCATAAGCCTGAGGTTACATGTTTGCCTGGGTCTTCTGCTCACAATTTTTTCTCATATATACATCTAGAGTTATATTATAGTGCACTGTTGGAGAATGTGCTTCAAAATACCCACAGTATGCAAACTATTTCAACCTCTTGAGATTTAAAGCTTGTATTACCTATAAAGCATTGAAGAAACAGGAACGAGGTATGTTAAGAACATCTCATGATGACACAGATTTCTAACACAGAATGTAAATAAGCCATATTTGGAAAATGTTCATATGACAACTATGTTATTTGTATTCCAAGCTCATGCAATAACAAGCCTTTAAAACAAGATTCCAGGTCTGATCGGCAAGCAGTTCAGTACCGATATAATCTGGGGGAAATTTCCATATTTGAGGAAAGGCATTCTTGGCATCTGTGTGAAGTAATGGAAACAGTTGGGATGTAAGGAACAAAGAAGAAGGTGGAACTCTCATGGAGAGGATCATCTCTTTGCATTGTCGTTTTGAGACTCCTTCCTGCTGTCAGTGCTGAATGTGACTCTCTTGACATAACAACTGCAATCCCAGTTTTGCCTGCAGGTGATTAGGACTCCTTCTCTAGCATTGAAGTAGTTGTTATACCAACTGTTAAGCTTTACAGGCACAAATAAAAAGCATAATAATCCCTATGAGTACAGCTACAACTCCTCTCATGGCATTTGCTCTTAGCTTCTTATAGAGACATAACAAATTCAGCCTTTACTTTGCTTAGAGAATCAATGGTACATAAAACAGGCTATTAAAGTGCAGTTACATATATGCTTATATTATATGGCATAACCCATTAAAACCACAGAGCATCCCCACCAGATGTTCAGTATTTGCTGAGCTGAGTTAGATGGTATTTCTAGAACTGAGAGGGTAACTTTGGGATACCTCAAAATGGCCTCAAAATGGCTAAGCAGCTCAAAGAAATCAGAGACTACATTTTGCTTCCTGCATTTGAAAAAATAAAAAAAAAGCCAATTTACTTTTCTTTGTAGCACACCCCAAAAAACTTAAGATTATAATAATCAGAAAGATTTGGAATTTGTTCCTTCAGCTGAATAAACTCATAAAAAAATTCCAGTTCTGTAATCATTTTAAGTCTCCATTTTTGTTCTCAGGATGCTATTTTGTGTCATGCCTTTACCACTGAAAAAAAATCTTGCACTTCTGTGATATCCAGAAAATACAGGCAGCTATAAATTAATGACTAAAGCATTTCATTCTATTTAAGAAGTTCATCAGCATTATTTCATGTTACCTAAAAGATGCAGAGTGTCCAAAAGTACTGCTCCCCCTAAATATTCACAGAGTGGGAATTATTAAATGCTCTTCATTCTCCCAGACAAATAGCCTCTATCAGGTCACAAAACCCTCTGGACTGACCAGAACAACAGATACATTTGTGGGTGATGATGCATAGGCATTCAGTACACACACTCCATGTTATTTGCACTTTCTCTTTTCCTAACATTTCCCTGAGCAGTTTATTAGCAACACGGGATAGGTTATTGGCATTAAAATGGTATACAGCAGACATGGGAAAGCCATGTGGGTTCTGCTGAAGGAAGCACTGAAGATCTTATATCTTCATGTGGGTCCTTTTATTTTTTCAGTAGGATTCCTGTAGACTTCACGGCTACTGTTTTATTTTGAACTGTTCCTCTATCAACATGCAGCATGTCACTCTGTGCTTCGGGATCCTCCAAGTTTTGATTGTATTCCCCCGAAATCTAAATGAAATATCCCTCTACTTTGCAGAAGCTCTCTTTCTATTCCTTGTAAGGCTTTTACGTGCTAGTGCTAGTTAATTGGTGTGTTTGTGAAGGACTGATGAAGGGAATGTTCCTGTTCATTAAGGGGCTGCTTAATGTTCTGCTCTCACACTGTAAGTTTAGTGAAAATAGTTCAAGCTTCCTCAAGAGGTAATAATGAAATTTCACCCTGACTTTTAAAATGCATTATTCAATATTCTGTTTCTCCCAAAATTCACTTAAACATACTACAATTTCGATGACAAAAAAGGTATTTGGTTCACACTTGAAATAAATTGACAATATTTTAAGGAGAGAACTCTACCTCTAAAACTGAATTAAACTACACTTATGAAAAAGGAGTCACATAGGTTCATAATATGAACAGAAGAATGAATAACCTGAAACGTAACATAATTTTAAAAGAAGGACCATATTTATTTAAAAACAGACAGAACATCAAGATTTAAAATACAAATGTCAAAATTATTGCACAGTCAGCAAACTAGTACTGATTGCCTGGCAGCATTTTTTTATGACATCAGTGTGCAATAACATGATCTGACAGGTTCAACTCCACAAAATCCGTGCTGTGTACCTTCTCTGTTTACATCATAAATCATCTTATAGCCCTAAAATCTTTTTTTCTGGTGTATGTATAAACATCATACAGTAAAACAATAAATGCTTTATGAAAGCTAGAAAGAAGAGAGAACATCTCTTTACACTTCCCTTACACTTAGACTCACACAAACTCAAGTAACAGATATTTACTATCCCTTTTGCAGTCATTTAACATAGGAAGTTCCAAGTATACAAACAAATACATATATTAAAAAGATTTGTTATAAATAGCCATAGACTTTCTAAGTAGCTTCAAATATACAATCTTCTGTATAGCTTTGAAAAATTAATGTCCCAGTATAGTTTATCAACAAAAAATTCATCCACAGGCAAATAGGCAAATATTCTTAATTAGGATGTGACTCTGTGTATGTCCCAAAGAGTCTGTCCCAGTGGGTGAAGTAAGGAGCATAGTTTGACTTGAATTTCAGATGATGGAGATCATGATGCGGTGCTCCTCCATACCAACCGAAAGGCACAAGTCGGTAAGTTGACCACGGAAGGTCATATCCTGAATGGTCCTCCACTGACAACCAGATGTTGACAAGGAAGAAAATCATTTCTGTCAAAGGGTGGCATTCAAGGAGGAATGGATTGATGGCAGCGAATAATCCCAGTGACAGCAATTCCCATACGCTGGAATACTGAGTAGTAAGAGCAAATGTCGATACGTGCTTGTGATGCACCTTGTGGATGGTCTTGTAGAGCCAAGGCACTCTGTGATGAAGCAAATGCCACAAGAAATATTCAAAATCAAACAGAAGCAGGCAAACTCCTACTTGCAGCAGGACCTGAGGCAGCTCTGGAGCTATCACCGGTAGATTCGTTGGTTTCCAGTACCAGTGGAGAAATGTCACTGGGAAAATCCACACAACATGGTGATACACACTCTGAATAAAGCAAGGCACCATCATTCCAAGAGTTGGATAGCTCTGTGGCTGGATTTTGTATTTTCTCAAGTTTGGCAGTCTAGTGCTTAAAAAGTCCAGTGCAATATATGGAAGACAGAAAGCCATGTACGCTGTAAAAGAAAACAACACTGGAAAAAACGGTGACTTGATTAATGTCTCTTTTGCTCTGACAAAGTCCCAAAGAAACTGGAGGCACAGCCTGTCCAGCTGTCTCTCCATGGCGCAGCTGAGCAGCACTCTGTCCGGCACGCTGCAGTTCATGCTGATTGCAGTCTGAGGTTCCGTAAATCCTGGTAAGCTTTTATCTAGGCTGCTCAGAAGATGACTCCGCCCAGAAACTCCTTATTTAGCTTGGCTTTAAGGAGGAAGTCCCCTTCCTGTAATGCATTACAATCAGAACCGAATTAGCTCGTCAGGTAATCACTGGAGCTCTACAAAAGACTTGCATAGTTGGAAAAATAAATTGAAACATAGAACAAACAGTGGAAGGGGGTAAGAATATTTTCCACTCCACTTACTGCATACACTTGAAAGACTGCTATCTTTTACTCATTATATCAGCCTTTGCTATCCTTTTGCCTTTATAAGTGAGGAAACATAATCCATTATTGATTTTCTTTCTGTGACTGCTACAAGGATGTATATGTACCTAAACTCTAGGTCTGACCCATGAATGTTTGCTGGTTAGTGGAGCTAAATTATAGCTACTACATTCAGACTGGAAGCACAGTGTAGATCTTCTAAGGTTTCAACTTAATTTGTTTTATACTCAAGGGATGATTAAGATGTGTGCCAATAGGCTAATTTGGACACATCCTAAACATCTCATGGGTATAAAACAGGCTAAGTTGAAACCGTGTAAGATCTACACTATGCTTCCAGTCCAAATGTAAGTAGCTGTGATTTATCTCCATCTATTTTTTGGTCATGTTCTCCTTTAACCACTTGACAAGGCAAAATCCACCTGAATTGACCTGATGCAAAATTGAACAAAACAAAAAAAAAGAACAACCAACAAAAATATCTCTTAGTTACTGGTAAGAATTTGAGGGATATGATATGGAATTCATTCTTGTACCAAATCACCTAAGTATCACAGTAACTTAATGTAAATAAAAGATTCACTGGTTAGACCAGTGTCCTCTAAAGGATCTTCCTTCAATCATAGACAAGCTCTGAGCAGAAAAAAAGCTAGCGGATTTGAATCCCAGCATTTCAAATTTGCTGAAAATTTTTCAGTGGTAAGACAAGAGTTCTTGATTCAACACTTCTTTTGTGCTTCTTGAAAATGGCAAACAAAGCTTTGAATACTTAGGGAAACAATTTGCCATCAGCTTCCTATGAACTCACCTCTTTTGTAGACACAGCATTTATTCTAATATTGGAAATGAGCTCAGCTTCCTGGATGACTTTATTAGCTTGTTCAGATGATTTTAGATCTTTACAGGAGTAAATGAGAGAGTTTCCTAATTTCTTAATAATTAAGAATAATGAGTTTAGCAGTGAACTTTTCTGATCTATGCGTGGATGTTTCTTAACCCTTAAGTTTGTCTTCAGCTTCAGCTATTTCATCTTCAAGAGATTCTGCTCTAAAGTAAATACAAATTTTGCTCCCTCCTTAGACTTAGTTTACTGAAACAGTAACACTATTGTCACTTGTGCTATTATTCTGTCAATCAGAAGTTTTATGTTGGAGACAGCTCTGGTACAGCCTTCAAAAGCTTTATCTGTTGCACACATATTTTAGAAATAGATTCAGATTTTCTGCTGATGTGAGATTGTGCTGTTTGATCAGGTTGTTGAATGTAGGGGAGCTAAAACCCTGTGAGATATACCAATCTGATGGATGAGGACCTACATCCAAGAGATTTGTTTCAGTCTTGAAAATATGTTTTAAACTGACCTCCGGTTCACAATAAGAACATGAAAAATGCATTTATAACTCAATCACTGTGTAAGACACAACATTTTCTTCTGAGAGATGCTTTCTGTTGATTTATGTAGTTACAATCAGAAATTAAGCCCCCCAGATGCATATGTGATTCTCCATTTTATTAGATTTATGCTAGGACTGATTCTTCTCCATAATATATTCCAAATCTGTCAAAAGGGAGGTTGAGGAAAACTGATTAACTGCTCTAAAGACACTGTTCCAACTAATTCTTAATGGCTATATGAATTCTCAAGAAGATGTAGGACCAATTACGCCTATCAGCTAAAACTTAAAGAATTGGCATTTTGCCTGCAGATTATGTCATAGGAAAATATTCCTAAATCCCTTAAGGAACAATAACAGAATTTTGCAGCCTTATTGCTAGTACATCCTGTAACATAAAGCATAAACGAGCTGAGGGCTGCAAGCACAGCTTACCTCAGCGACAACCTGCAGCTCCGAGGCAGACAAAGCCGCCGCCGCCGCTGTGCCCCATCTGCTGGCGCTCAGGAGGATGAACTCTGCTGTCAAGTTGCACCCTGCTGGGAATTAATTCAGGCTCAGGAAAGCGAATCGCCATGCATCAGAGACAGCAAATTCTTCTTTTCCAGAAACCGATTTCAAGTTCCTTCACTTTGCCATCAAAAAGCACTTATTTCACATATTTTCCTTCCTCTGATTTAGGTTTTCTTGTCAACACAAGGTGAAAAAAAGACGAAGCATACACATCCATTCTGTACTTAATTCAACAATACAGCCCTGGCGTTTTTTGCTCAGCTTCCCCATGTGTTACAGGACTCTAAACGAGTCTCTTAAAAAGCCAAGACTGCTGCTCTGGAGTTAGGTTGAAGGGCACATAGCTTGGAATGAGGCCCCGCAAAGGGTCTTAAATAGATTCCACATGAGCACAAGACGCAGGCACCCACCCCAGGCCCTGCAGCGAGGTAAATAGCAGAACACAAACAAGTGGTTAGGAAAGCGAGGAAAAGTTAGGAAGAAGGGAAACCGGTATGTGCATGCTGAAACCAATCTCACAGCAGCAGAGGCAAAACCCTTTCTCCCTCCCGCCAGCCTCCCGCTCTCTGGGCAGACAGATGGTTGCTGTACCAGAGCTGAGGCACAGCCCGGTGCAGCCGAGCCCGCTGGCACAGGCGGGTGCTGCAAAGCAGAGCGGAAAACTTAGGACAGTGACAGGGGAGCAGGCAAGTAGCTGCAGCAAACGATGCTAAAGGCTGTCCCTTCTCTCACTTCAAAACAGCTAATCAAGCTGGAATCGCAGTGAAGCTGAAGCCTTCGCACATGGACTCACCTTGCTGCAGGAGCCCTGTGCGAGGAGCCCGCCCCGCCCGCTGCCCGCTGCCCGCCTGCCGCCCCCGTGCCGGGACGGCCGCCCGGCTCTGCTCGGCCCTGCGAGGCTGCGGCGGCCGCGCTGCGCAACGGCGCCACCCTGCGGAGCCTTCCGTCAGGGCTGCCGCCTGCGGAAGCGCTCCTGGGACGGCAAAACGCTCGGCAGGGGACGGCGACTTCACGAAGTCGGGAGGCGTACATCTTTGTCACAGGTGCGGCAGGTTGAGTGGAAAAGAAAGGGCCTCGCATATTTACGTCTTTTTCAACTTGTAGACTCTTTATGTTTTGGTACGCTGAGAGTCAAATCCTGGAGGTGAATATAGAGAAGGGACAAGAGCCGCTACTTCCTGCAGCCCCCCAGTACCGGGCTCCCTGGCGTGCTGCACACTCTAAGACCCCTCCTGCACACATTTCTTTCCTGTTTGGATGTTCTCTTCTGTTTGGATGAAAATCTTCAGCCCCCCATACTTTTCTTAACAGAATGAGCAGGTTTTCCTAATCCAAGTATTTCCGGACCAACGTTCCAACCCCTGTGCGCCCATCTGTGCTGCAGATCGGGGAGCGACGGCCCAGGATGGTGCATGCTGCTCACACACAGACAGGTCAGTGAGTCTGACGATCCATGAGCTGAGCTGCTTAGGGTCCACTGTCTCCAGCTTCCTGCCGTAGTTGGCTCACATCACTAAATGTCAGTGGAAGATGTCCTATGTTCTTTGTCAGCTTTTGTATTATTGGAAATTTATGTTTCAGCCAATCTTCAACATCACCGTCAGAGAAAAATGGTCTATAGAACAGGCATCAAGTATGCAAGATCTGCTTCAGCATTCAGTATTGCTCCTTATTAGATCAAAAGTCTTGCTCTTCTCTGTCACATCCAGATGTGTTATCTTGCATGTCTCTTTCCATTGACAATGCCTCTCCAGCTTTGTCTTATGAAATGCTTGTAACTAGCAGGCCACTGACAGCACAGCAGCTCCCAATTTCCACAGACATCCCTGCTCCAGTAAAGGAAAGAAGGTCCAGAATGGCTTTGTTTAAAGCTTCCATTATTCTTTACTTCCAGGCACACAGGAGTTCTAACAAGTAACAAAGCTGGCAAAACACAGGATTTATTACACCCTGCTATCTTGACTGCACATCTACTCTATTCAGGATGGACAGAAAGGTATGGCCTGAGCTTATTTACTACTGACGCCGGGCATTCACGTCAAATTCACCAAGAAAAAGATTAGTTCCCTGTTGTATAATGTGGTTACATGCTATTTATGAGATTACCAGACACTCAGTTAAGCAATCTAATTACCCAAGGTTTAAGAATGTGATACAAGAAGCTTTTCACCACGTCAGTATTTTGAAAGAAACTCTTAACCTGCAGGCTTAGAGAATGACTAAGCAGTTAAGCAGTTATTTATAGTTTGTACCTTATCTAAAAGTCTCAGAAAAGTCTTCTGAAACAATACGAATGGCCCTTTATGTTTAGGCAAAGTTCCTCTGATGACAAAAGTAAAATGGAAGTTGCACTTTTTTACTGTACTTGTTTTATGGATGAACAGTTGTGAGAATAGACTTGGCTCTCTGCGTTCTCCGCCACAAAGGTTCACATGCATACATGAAACAAGAAGTCAAACAGATCACATCACTCCAAACTCTGAGCAGGTCTCTCACATTTATTGAAATATCTCAAGTTTAATGAACGTAACACACATGGCTCTTGCCATCATACCATCACAGCTGCAGAGTTAGTCAATTGGGATTCCTACAGTCTTCCTTCCAGTACATCAGTGAGAAGCAAATGTAGCTGCTACAAATATGAAGCAAACTTAAAGGTCCTGCTAGGAATCACAACTGAAATACCACAAACCACTTTTTTCCTTAAACAAAGCCTGAGGACTCCCTGAGACTGAATTAGGAGTAAAAACAAAACAAAACAAACCCTAATTTATGGCTTACACATCTTCTTGTGTGGTTTCCTTTTTCCAATTAAAAAAAAAAAAAAAAAAGGCTGCCTCGGTTTAAAGTGTACTGTTTTCTATGCCATATACAAAAGGCAGTTCTTACTCTTAGGATTACAGAGATCTGGAACAAACTCCAACTAAAGTACAGAAATTACCATCTGGACTGAGGTTACTGACTCTGGAGATTGTTCATACATCTCCATTAGGCATGAAATTCAGCGGAGTCAAAGTTCTCTGCATAGTCAATGGAAAGAGCAAGGCACCTATACCAGAGACAACCATAACTCCAAAGTCAGGCCTCTAAAGCAAATGTGAATT